AGGAAGGGTGGGAGGGGCAGCATCCTGGGGAGCTGCTCCCTGGAGGGGCCTGAGCAAGTCTTGTGGGGAGGAGTAAAGTGCTTGTTAGAGGTCTCTCTTTAGTCCACAGCTGGCTGCTGTTGCTCTGGAGTCCCTATCTCTCCTAGGAACACAGGACAGGGGTGGAGTGAGTAGGTGGTAAGCAAGTGCATCTGTGTGTGTTCTGTTACTATAATGAAATACTGAAGGCTGTGTAAATTATACAGTGAAGAGGTTCATTGAGCACCCAGTTCTGGAGATTTGAAAGCGTGGCATCAGCATTGCACTCAGTGAGGGCCTCATGGTGGTGGATGACACTACCATGGTACCACTGTGCCTGCAGAGGTCCCTCCTATGGCCTAACCCACTTCTACTAGGCTCTATCTATTAATAGTTCTACTACCTCCTAGCACCCTGTCCTTGCTGCCTGTGGACATTTGAGGGACAAACCATATCCAAGCCATGGCATTAAGGGCCTGAGGTAGATTTGTCTCTGGGGGTGTCTGGTGCAGACTGGGGGGTGTCTGGTGTGGACTGGGGGTGTCTGCATTTGGACTGGTGTCTGGGACACACCCCTTGGGCCATCTGTTTCCGGGTTGGCACTAGCAGGTCTGGAAGGGGCTGAGATGGCCACTACACACTGGTGACAGAGTAGAGGAAGTAGGGCCACAAGGTACTCACTGTGTCCCTCTGCAGGGTATGTGTGGGGGAAATAATGAGTTGATGAGGTGGCTAGGAAGGGATGGGCATATTTGGGCTGCAGGGTGACCAGCCTCTGGAGGCAAGGGACCAGGTTACAGGAGCAGCATTAGTGTCCACTGTAATAATAGTAATAATAATAATAATAATAAAATTACCTGTTATGTGTTCAATCATTCCCACATATTACACCTTATTTGAGCCCAAGGCTAAATACAGGACAGCAAAAATTCTTATCCACATAGCACAAGAATCTAGAGTTAAGTGACTTGCTCAAAGTTTACACTGCTGGCAAATTGCAGAGTCAAGTCCTGTCCTGGTGTCCTGGAGCATCCTGCTTGAATGTTATGGTATTGTGAGCTTGAAGTATTGACCTACCTGATTTGGTAACATGCATGTTGGGTGACACACACGGAACAATGCAAGTAGATAAGATGAGCAGCTCCATGCCGACGTGGAAGGTGAGACAACAAGGACCAGTGCTTTGCTCCAGGCAGGAGTGTCTCAGGAAGTGGCAGTGGGCGGGGTCACAGAGTGCCCACCCCAGGGCAGGCTAACGGGCCTTTGCTCAGGTGGCCGGGTGGATGTGGCAGAAAGTGCTTGAAGGGCAAATTGGGAGTGGTAGGTCCCTCTCCATGGTGCCCAGCAGGCTTTTATTAGCTCACAGCTTGTCTGTGAGGTCAGTGTGGCAATTGTCAGAGACAGAGGCCAGCCAGAAGGAGATGCCCTTGGTGAGGGGTGGAGGCCTGGGTTTTCAAACACAGGGGTGAGAGTTTCAGTGGGCAACTGAAGACAGAACAGGAATCCAAGGTCATTATAAGAGGTAGAACGAGACGTTAGGACCAGATGCTCCTGCGGGATGGAAGGGCTGAGTCCGGCTGTTTGCGCTGGGCCCTCCTTTTCGGTGAATGTGGCAGCTGTGTTCTTCAGGGACGGCTGCAGTAACACCTCTCACCTGACATCCTGTTTATACACTGTCACCTTAACCTGCATCCCACACTGAGGCAGAGTTCGTGTTCCCTCTCTGCATTCTGGCAGCCTTGCGATTGTGGCAGGGTGCTACCATGCCAGAGCGATGCTGTCTGAGGCTGATCATGACAGGAGCTGCAGTTTTGACCTTGTTCTCGAGAACATTAGTTGCTGAGCCCAGAGCCACCGTGCAGGCAGTCCAGCTTCCCTGAGATTGACACCCTGGAAGGAGACCTGCACCAGTGGCATGGAACAACCACAGGCAGAGGCCCTGAGACAGCTAGCTCCCTACGCACTCACTGGCTGCAACCCCACGAGAGACCCTGCTGGAAATGGACCCAGAATGTCCCTCAAAGGCCTGTGTTAAAAGGCTGGTGCCAGCCAGCACTACAGGAAGCTAGAAGAAACCTTAGGAGGTGGAAACTTGTGCAAGGTTTTAGATCACTGGGGAAATGCCTTCCAAGGGGATCTGAGGACCTGTCTCTTGCTCTTTTTCATGTCCAGGCTGTACAATGAGCAGGTTGCTCTGCCATCCACTTCCACAGAAATGGGGCCATTTGATCCTGGATTGAAACCTCTGAAATCATGAGCCAAAACCAACCTTCTCTCTTCATAAGTTGATGGAAATCTGACCAACACCACCCCCGAGCCACGGCACTGCCACCGCACACTTCCCACATTCCCGATCCAAATGAGGCATGAAAAGTGATAGAATGGTTGTTGTTTAAAGGTGCTACCACTGGGGACCACTTGTTAAGCAGCAGGACCTGGAGCTACAGGAGCTCAGCTTCCATGGAGCAGAAGGTGCCGAGAGCACTGGGAAGCAAGTGTGAACAGCTGGGCTGCCTGGGACAGGTGACTTGGGGTCAGATCCTGGTGCTTGTGTCCGGAGAAAGCTCTACCCTGCTTGACTAGCTGGAGATTTCTGAGGGTAAGCAAACACTCAAGAAGGTGCTGCTAGCTGATGTCAAGAAAGTCTCACTTGGGAGAACGAGGTAGCCCAGCGGAAGGTGGACTGCATCAGTATTTATAAATCCAGGCTACTTCAGCCCTTGACCTGGCTGGTATGGGAGAACAGACCCTAGGTGTGATAATGGCTCTCCTAGGCGTTGCTAAACACTAATGAAATGAGCTTAGACACCCAGGATAGTACCTACCACATAGCAAATGCTCAACTCATATTAGACTTTCATTGTTATATGATTATAGACTTCTTCCACAACAGGTTCTGTTGTTTCTGGTATTGCTATTATTAGATCTGGCAGTGTAGGCAGAGCCATGGTTCCTACAGAACTGATGTTAAACCATAAGCAAAGACCCTGGTGCTCCTACTTGTGGCCTGGCCTCCTAACACTGACAGTTAAGAACTTACCACTTCCAAATGGAACCATTAGTTCATTCAGTTCCCATGGGAACAGGCAAACTGATACCTTTAATATCTCCAATTTCCAGATGAAGACCAGGAAATCCACTGACATCTAAAAATCTTACAACTAATAAGTAGCAGGATCAGGACTTAAACCCAGGGCCTCCAGTTGAACAGCAGTTCTGCTTTCTTTATGCTCACACATGCAATGAGGTATTAGATCTGGTCTCCCTGGCCAGAGACCAGAGCAGGGCTGAATCCAGGGATGGTGAAGCCACATGGTGACAGTTGTGCTGAGTAGAGGATACAGAGCTGGGGAGCTGGCAGTGCTTCCAAAGGCTTCTCTTCTGCAAAGTGGAGACCAGGGCCTTGTGTGTTGGGGACACTACCTACTGCTTGCCCAGAAGTAGTGCTGTGCTATGGAGGGCCTCCTGATGGTGGTGTCTGGGGACAGCACCTCGCTTTTTGAGTTGCAGGAAAAGGCCAAGGTCATGCAGGTTGGAACATGTTTCTTTGACCATTGAAGTGGGTGCTCTCTCTCAAAGTTTTCATGGCATTTCCCTAGCAGGGATTTGGTGTCGCCTCCCTATGTCATCACAGGCATGTTCCCCTAAGTTTATTTTTGTTACATGACAGAGCCTCGTTTTAAAGTTGTCCACATGTGAACCACACTTTGGCGCCCTCCTTCCTCACAGTGTTAAAATGTGGGTGTGCAAAGCATTCCTACTTAATGGAAAGCCCTTGTCAGATTAGGGATATGAGTGTGCTGCAACCCCATGATCTGAGTGTCTCTGGATGTGGGCTATAGCCCCAAAGCTGAGGATATGGGCACTGAGGTCTCTATATTCTAACTCAAACAGCCCCGTCTTAGTTACTTTTCTCTCATTGCCAAGACAAAATACCTGATGCCCCAAATTAAGGAAAGATAGGTTTATTTAGCTCACAGTTTGTGGAGGTTTCAGTCCATACTCGTTTGGCTCCAAGGGAGGGTGGCAAGGTGCAGGGGCAACACTTCAAGGTGGCAGAAGACAGCAAAAGCAGCAAGAACAAAAGTGAGGGGACAGCAAGCCTCTTTTCCTCTTTTATATTTTAAGCAGGCTACCTGCCCCGCCCGCACCCCGAGGGTGTAGCACTCACCCCACCTCCTGTGCTCTGCTATTGCATAGGATGAGGATGTTTCCAGTGAGGACCCTGGCTCACTGCTGAGACTTAGGTAAACTTCTAAAACTTTCAAGTCGACACAATGTATCAACCATCACCAGCTCCATCCAGCAGGAGACCAGGCTGGCCCTTGCCCTTCCCCCGCATATCCCAGGCCATCTATATTAGCATATAGAAAGGGGGTTGTTGAGTAGTGAGCTGAGGTCTTTAGGGGATGGGGCTGTGGCATTTGCCTTTCCCTTCCCATGGTGCAATTCAATCAGGTGATGGAAGGCCAAAAAAAGCACTCATTAGAATTGCCCGCAATGTAGTCCTTGCCAGCCCTCTGTGTCATACAGGTGCTCTCTCTGTAGGTCCTCTGGTAGGCTCCTCTCCACAAGGAAGTGGTTTCCTGGAACCACTGCCTCTTCTCCCTTCATCCTGTTCCAAGTGTCCAGGTTTCCCAGAATGCTCAAGGCCCCTTCCAGGTTCTGTTCAGACCTGTCTTATGTCCAAACACCCAGGGTGGACTGTGCTCAGCTCTGACCCTGAGTGTAGCCAAGGGACTGCAGTTTGTGGGGATGTGAGTAGACCTTAGATGCACTGTCTGGGGAGCCACATCCATATACTCATGGCTTCCATGGTAGGGAATAGAGACAGGGGTAGAAAGAGAAGCAGCAATACTTTAAACTTGATTTGTAACTTTTGCATATTTAAATATTTGGCACATAGACCTCTGTATTAGCCAGCTTTCCCATCACTGGGACAAAATACCTGACACTCCCAACTTAAAGAAGGGAAGGTTTATTTTGGCTTTTGGTTCCAGAGGATTCAGTCCATGATTAGCTCGCTCCATGGCATAAACATCAGTGCATAATGGATAACAGCAGCTCAACTCATTGTATCCAGGAAGCAGAGAGCAGGGGAAGAGTGACAGGGAGGAAGGGCTAGAGACTAGATGTACTCCCAAAGATCATGGCCCCATGACCCACTTCCTCCAACTACATCCTACCTCCAAATAGCCCATTCAACTATAAACTCACCCATGGTTTACCTCATTGATGAGGCTAGTGACTTCACAATCCAGTCATCTCTCCAATACTGTCTAAATCCACTCAAGTTGACAATCAAGATTAACCAGCACAGCCTCCCTTTGAACTCTTGCCTTGGGCCCTGCAATGTGAGGAATGGGTTGTCTCCTGGAGAATGGGATGCCTGGAAGATGGAGGCAGGACTCTTGCTGCCTGGATGCCTAGCTGTGAGCTACAGAAGACCAGAGGCTCACCCAGTGTCATGGGAGAGCTTTGCACATATCCCTGGAAGTTGGGGGTAAATACAAACCCAACTCCCCAAACTAAGATACCCCAGGAAAGCAGGAAACAGGATGGATATGACTGTTGGCATCTTGCTTCTTGACATTTTTGGCTGGCATGTGAGAGGTTCCAATGGACCAAATGGATACCAAGTGTCTTCAGGGGACCTTAGCTGAGAGGGCTTCCTGTGAGGAGAAAGGGTCAAGGTAGGGGCTAGTGGCAGGTCTATTATTATGGTTTGTATCTAGAATGTCCCCCCAAAACCTTGTGTATCTAAAGGTAGAGCTTTTGGAAGGTGACTGGGTCATAGGGCTACTGTAGTTCTCAGGCGATTCATCCAGTAGATTAGCTGAATGTTCAATTGAGAGGTGGTTACTGAGAATATGATCTCATTAAGTTACATTCTGGTCCCCAACTCCTCCCTTGCTCAGTGTTTCTTGGCTGCTATAGGATGAATAGCTATCTTCTACCCAGGCCTTTCCACTGTGTTTTTTCTGCACTGGAGGCAGCTGACCATGCTCTCAAAACATGAGCCAAAATAGATCTCTCTGCCTTTAAGGTATGGGTGTTGGGAATTTTATCCCAGCAATGAGAAAGTGACTAAGAGGAAAAAATCTTTCAGAATGTTCTTTAACTATAACACGAAATTGTGTAGAAAGGAGGTTTCTTATGTGAGCTCAGAGAACAGCCTTCAAACCCCTCCAACACAGATAGCATTCCTCATTGAGAGGTACTTCTAAGAGTGCTGCCAACCAAAACCCCAAGTACCTCCTAGACCCCCTCCCCTCTTCTGACCCAGAAAGACCTAGAGTTGGAGGAGGAAGAAAAAGAGGTGGAACAGCGCCATCCTCCTTGCTTCTCTTGACTGGAGCCAGCAGAGCCAGGCCCAGCTGCATGGAGAGCAATCTTTAGTGCAGAGTAACAGAGTTGTGGTTTGGATGACACTTTTACTTAATACTTGAAAGACTCTTAACTATGAACATGAGGCTTGTACTTAGGAGTGGAAGCAACCCAGAAAGCTATGGAGTGACTCTCAGATACTGTACAGGTGGCAAGAGGAAGCCTCTTGGGACCTGTGGGATGTGGACAAACTGGCTTCCTGTTGTTCTTTTGGTTGAAGAGTCTAATGAGGTTCCTTTTTCCTTGACTTTAAATAGGCCTTGACTATACATTTGTGATGAAAGGCATGTGGGTTTGATGAGCGGTTCTTGGGTAGAAGTCATATATCCTCTCTTAGTCTCCTCTATCAGGAGCAAAGAGGACAGAGGGCAGTGAGGAAAGGCCTGTGAGCAGGTCTTTAACACACATCTCCTTTCCCCTTTCCTATCAGGCAGTGTGTGCACTAGTATGTTTAAGAGGAGAGATGTGAAAACTCTCATATGAATGAGTCCCTACCACGGGCCCCCAGTCTTTGCCATATGGCTGTGCTGCTACTAGTTACTGTCCTGCACTCACAGGTCCTCGGATGGCAAGCCCTGCCCTTTCTGCCACATCTCAGAGAAGCTTTCTGCTTATGCAAGAAAGGACTCAAATTGCTGGCTCAGCCTCTCCCTTCATTCTTATGTCCAGGGATAATGACCTCACCATGTCTAGTTGATGAAAATGTCACTTCCAAACCAGTGTGTATCGTTGTATTGTTTATTCTAGAATGATGATGGTGTGGCCAAAGATCACCTTTGGCACTGGTTCTTCTTTTGTTCTGCGCGCAGCAAACTTGAGAACAATGGGCTCCTTATTCCACTTAAGAATCAGGAAGGATGGACTTCGCCAAACTATGGCTTGCTGGATGCCAACCTGGAATCTGTGAATCCCCTGAGGGAGCAGGTTGTGCCTTTGGGACTGAGTGTGGTAAGGAAGGGAATGCGCCTCTAATTCTCTTGTCATTTATAGCTCTGCATTAAAAAAGAGTCTCTTCTCTTTTTTGCCTATAAGGATAGTATTCCATGGAGGAAGGGCCCGCCTTAAGTAAGCTGGCATGACCACACCAGATTGAATCCCTTACATTCCCTTGGATTCTCCCTCCTGCCTGGCTAACCCTGTTGCTTCCCCATTTGTCTCTGCGTTTACTTGTTAGGTTCAGATGAAAGTGGTCAACTAGGTGAGCCACTGAAAGCAGGAAAAATGGGATACCTGGGTGGCTCAGCCTCTCAGGGCAGCCAGTGGCACTGGGAAGCTGTGACATTGGAGTGATATGGAGCCCCAGCAGGAAGACTGAAGTGTGAGGAAGGCTGACACAATGGCATGGTCCTTCCTCATCTGTATTCTTGTCCTGTGAGGGTCTTGTGGTCCAGTCTCTGGCTGAACTCCTGTCCTGTGACATGAGGGCTATCGTCAGTCTTTGGATGGCCCCTTCTGCAGATCCCTTGGCATTTTCTGGTGAGTGCCAGAGACAAAACTTTAGCTTTTGGCAAGTATCTTCTCAGCAGTAGCTGTTTAGGGCAGTGATGGCGAACCTTTTAGAGCTTTCCACGATAATAAACAACTGTAGCGCACAGGCAATAAGTGCGTCAGGGATGTTATCCACCAAATGCTCTTTTCATGACCAGATGGGAATGAGACAGTGGTGTATCAGAGTGTAAATCTCCTTTCTGTCAGTTCAGGGGAGCTGGAGAAAGTCCACTCTCTGGTGTTTAATCTGCTGTGCTTCCAGAAGGGTGTGTGCTGGCCCTGACTTGGAGGGAGTCCTCTGGGAACCTGAATTCCTGAAAGATGGTATTGTTGCACTTGAATACCTCAGAGGGGCTGTCTGAAAGGAAAGAAGAGATAAAGTTGAAATGTTAAACTTTTCCAATAAAAGCCATTAGGGGAAAATTTCCTGACTCAGCACTCCTTGACATTTTTTTGAGGTTTTGAACAGACAACATCACGTTACTCTTTTTGTATGTGTACGTGTGTGATTTTTTTCTTTTTAAAAGTGTACTGGTTTCCATCGATGAAGTAGTCATTCAATCCCAAGGCCTAGTTGTGGGTAGGAGGAGCTGGTAACCAATCAGTGACCAATCACTGCCAGTGCTGGAGGAAGCTGGAGTGTGACTTTATCACCTTGGCTTCTGCTAGAGTTTGGCCTGTCCTCAGGCACACACTGGTCACCAGGCAGCTCTGATGCTCGGGAATCTTTTCCTTCCTATTCCTGTGGAGCTCTGGCCTTCTAACCTATGGCCCTGAGGCCCTTCCTTTGTGTGAGGGATTGAACTTCGTCCTCCCAAAAATCATATCTGAAGTCCTTACCTCCAGTAACTCAGATGTGGCTGTATTTGGAGACATGGTCTTTACAGAGCTAATCAAGTAAAAAGGAGATCTCTAGGGTGGACCCTAACCTAGTATGACTGTGTCTTTTCAAAAAGGGCAAGTTTGGGGACTGGACCTCAGTGGGAACAACACCGTGTGCAAGGTGAAGATAAGAGCAGGGTGCTGCTCTGCCTGTCAGAGTGTACAAAGCTTGGAATGTTGAATGTAGTATGTTGGCATTTCCAAGACAGCAGAACCAGAAAGGCCACTCTCTCCTTTCCCTAGCCCTTATCCCACGAAGTAGATCATAAACCTTAGGAAGAATTATTTGAACTTTTGAAGTGGGTGCTAAGACCCGCATTCAAGAAGTGGATGCCCTATACCTGGAGGAAAGGAATGTCTTTATCTCTGAAGATAGGGTCACAGGGCAGAATCTGAACAGATAGGCCTCGAGAAGTCCTGGTAGCTTCTGATCATTGGATCATACCCCTTCCTTCCAAACGTACTTCTTCACAACTATTTCCTCATCATACTCAGCACCAGAATAATACATGTTTCCCCATTTCTCTGGGTCTTTATGTCCAAAGGATTCCACATCACACAAAACTTAAGACATGTGCTGTTCTCTTATTTACAATTTTTTTTTTTTTGGTACTGGGAATCAAACTTAGGACCTTGCACTTGCCAGGGAGGTGCTGTGATGCTGAGCTATCTCCTTGGCTGTTCTCTTATTAACCTTGCTGATAGAGGAGCAGCTGTCGCAAGCACGCAATGGGAAGAGAGCATACTCCTTTTCCTCTGAAAACATCCAGAATAGCGAGGGTACACACTTCTGTTGTTTAAGCCTCTCAGTCTGTGGTACATTGTTATAGAAGTCCTACCAAATGGGCTTTATAAGGCTTCAAACCAGGCCTTTCTTGGGCAGTGTAGGCAGGTGGGTTTCTAAGTTGTCAACTTGTTAACTTTTTGCACAAGATTTAGAGACAATATAAAATCACAGTCAGCAACTTGGAAAATAGTATTGCATTAATTAGGTAGGTATGAGTGGACTGGATCCAAAAGGAAAGGGAAAGAGGTTTTTGGGTGAATTCAGAGAAAAGGGGATCCCAGTGCATACAGATTTGGGGTAGTATTGACGGTGGGCCTTTGGTAGGTCTTAGGCCTTCTCCAGCTAGCTGTACATGGGTTGTTTTACTTAATAGTTTATTATCCATCCCCATGAGACAGAAGAAGAATGAAAGGCACAGAGAGGTTTGGCACCTTGCATGAGGTCTCACAAATGGAAGGTGGCAGAGGAAGGGTTTGAACCAAGGTTTTCTCTTTTCAGACCCATTTCCGTAACCACAGAATCACAGTCTGGAGACACAAGTGGGCACCCTGTGACTGAATCAGTAGATGGGCCATCTCAGAGCCCACCCCTTCCTTCACCCTCTCCTTGTGGTATGTTTTCCTCCTGTTTTAATCATCTTTCTCCCCACTGGTGACAGAGGGATTCCTGCTAACGGCTGTGGGGAGGGCTGAACACATGACACCCGACCAGTGAGCTTGACGTCAGTTTATTTGTGGTACCTGCTCCCAGCCCAAGGGAGAAGGGCACCCTAGCCACGTAGGACCACATGGGTGCTGTACTTGGGAACAGAGCAGAACAACAGAGGGAGGCAGGAGAAGGCAAGCTCTTGTGTCAAGAGAGTGGGCTGCCTCCTGCTTCCTGAGGAGGACCGGATTGGTTTGTGAGTAATTGCACAGGTGGTGGGAACTGAAACTCACTTTTGAGGATGAGCAGGAGCCATACCTGGCCTCTCTGATGAGGAGGGTCTCCTCCTCAGGAGCTAAGTGGGAGAGAACTTGCCCAGGTTATTGGGGTTGCCACGTTTTGCCAGATTTCACTGCAGCCCATGATTTTACATCTTACACCACACCTTCTTTTGTTCCCATCTTTCTCTTCTTGTGCCTTCCTTTTCTTTCGCCTCATTCTCAAGCAAGCAGTGGATTTAAGGTCAAAGACCCGGGCTCAGACTTTGGCCCTCCCCCTTACAAGCTGTGCATTGGCAGTGAGATCCTCAGAACTCTAAGCCTTGGGTTCCTTATCCTTGTAAACCAGAAAATAAGAGTCACTTTTCCAAGGCATCTGTCCTGAGATGTAAATGGAAGGCTGAAAAGCACTCTCATCTCAGAAGAAGTGCTCAGCAAATGTTAGCCATACTCATGTCGGTGGGCTCTCCCTGGTGAGGACATTTGGAGCTGGGTCTTAGAACCTGTCTCAGATGAGAAAGTGCCTGCTCTGCTGAGGGGCTGGGACTGGGCTGAGTTCTTAGAGGCTTGGTCTCAGTCAGCCTCTAGCTGAGGTGTCTTTACTTTACCAAGGGTCTCGTGGGCTCAGGCCAGCACAGCCTTTGCACTCACATTTTAAAAAAAATACAGCGCCAACAGCAGTTAGGGCTCATGTTGCTCCCTTATTTCCCACCAGTGCCCTGGCCAGCACAATCAATTGTCCCATTGTCTCCTGGGTAATGTGGAGACTGTTTGCATTAGGGATCTATGATAACCATTTTGGCTGGAATTAATGTCCTTTCCGAGGTGAGAAGTGAGAAAGGAAAGCCATGTGACATGGACAAGGGACAGGCAATTTTCCAGATTTGGGGAGAAAGGGATCAAGTTTTTGAAAGAAAATAACTAGAAAGAGAATATTGTTCTTCTTCCTTCTTTTTTTTTTTTCATTTTCTGAGCTCATATTTCCAAGATCATGAGTTTTCAAAACTTAAACAAGAAAGTGTATTAATCGTAAATGTCTCCCATTAATCACCAAATCCAGCCCTGTGGCGAGAGAGATGACTCACTTCCACAGTTGATTTCTTGGTAATGGGGGGGGGGGTCAAGACTTGCCCTTACATTTCCCCTCCTGTTGAGCTAATGGAGAAAGCTTCCCTTTAGGAAGCACCCAGCCTGGAGCAATTTTTCAAGAGAAAATTGCAGACAGGAATAGCCACTGACATGAAAATATTTCTCTTAGGAAAACAAGGTGAGCAGTACAGCATAGTGATTATAAGCACAGGCTAGACCTTTTGAGAGTTGTTGTGTGATTACATTATGGGATTAAATAAAGCACATAATTCAGCATGTAACGTGTTAAGAGAGTCTGCAATAAATATCAAGCATTTGCTGCACCCCTTCTGTGTGCCAGACACTGTGCTGAGTGTCTTCCTTTTGCTACTGTTAAGTCTTCATAGTATATTATGTGACAGATGCCACCATGTCCTTTGGTTTACAGACCGGAAATCCAAGATGCTAAATGATTTGTCCCAAGTCACAAGCTGTGTCCTGGGTCACACAGCTCATAAGAGACGGAACCAGGACTTGTACCCATGTAATCTGACTCAGGCAAGTTTTCTGTTGCTACTCATGCCGTCCTCCCAGGGAGCATGACTGCTACCAGGACACAGACAAAACCAGCTTGTTCCTGTGGGACTAAGCTTAGGACATGTTGCCATAGTGATGTTCCCTCTTCTACTCCAATGACCCGGTTGTCCCGGCAAATGGATCACTGTATCATCCTAATGCACTTCCCACCCCAAATCCAGGCTCCTCTTCAGAGACCCAGAATTCTGCCCCATTAGCAGGGAAAAGGGTGGTTAGGTTTCCTCCCCAGGCAGCTGTCCAGAGGTTAAGAATTTTAAAGCGATGCCCTCTCTGGCTCTGGTGAGTTTCATCTTATGGATGTCAGATCAGCTGCTCTGCCACCCATCCTGCTGTGCCCTGACTTCCTGTTGGTGCTGAGCCCTGGTGGAGCCAAGAGCACATAAGAGGGTTTCTCCAGATGCACATGCACTGGCTAGAGAAGGACTTCCAGAAACTTGGCGGGAGACAGTGCTGAGCAGCTGTCCCAAACCCTGGGAATATTTGGTGCAGTCAAGATGCCAGTTCACTCTAATGTAGCTGAAGACAGCGTGACATTCTAAGAAAGTTTACAGAGATGTGAGCCTGGCTGTTTTTATAAAGTGCCTCTATCCCCAGGTGGGAAAATCCGGAAAAGCCCTATGGTGTTGGAGTGGCCCTATCTGGAGGCTGCAGGCTTCAGTCACCCTACAAGCCGGTCTGTCTCCCCAGAGTTGCAGCAAGTACAACCGGAACAGACGGCATGTTCAGGAACACCTTAATGATGTCAGGATACTTTTCATTACTCATTTATCACTTAACAGCTCAGATTTGTAACGTGCTACCCGCGTTCTCCCTTCGAGGGGACAATGCATTCTTTCAACAGCACGAGGCTCACTGGGAAGAGCTTTGCTGAAAGCAGAACAGTGGTGTGTGAGCCGAGCCCTGGGGAGGAAGTGGGCGAGGGGGCAGGTGGGGACCAGATGCTTGGCCATGGCCACGCTTGGGGATGAGCACATGGAACAGCCACTTCTGCTTCCACTTACTCATTTTCTCTGTGGTGAAAGGTGTCATATAAATGCTAAGCAGAACACAGAGAGATGGGCCCTATCTATTTGCATTTCATCTAATGTGAGCAGATGCAGATGGGGAAACAGCTTAGCCTGGGCTGTTCACCTGTGCCGCTAGGCCTAATGTTGCAGCTCATGTCAGTGCCACCCTCGTCAGTTCTGCTCCAGTGCTGCAGCAGATGTGGAACAAGAGGGACCCACGATCCTCAGTGGGTTTCCAGGGCTTGCTGGAGAGGTAGGTCTAAGCACAGGACCCCTCTGAGGACAACACAAGCATCTGAGGGAGTAGGAGACAGAGGCAGTGCTGGGGGCGGTGGTAGAAGAGAGAATGCCACATGTGTGGGCAGGAAGGCTTCTTGGAAGAAAGGACACAGTGGCCTCACGCAAGCTGACCCAAGGGCTGTAGAGGCAGAGCTGGTGAGAAAAGATGGTCTCAGCCATTCACAGGACTTCCCATCTGCTGTTCCTCTGCAGCTTGCTCCCTTCCGCCTTTTGAATGGCGGAGCCCTCCTCATTCTTTAGGACTTCACTTCCATGTCATACTTCCAAGACATTTCCCTGCACTATTCTAGGTAGCAGCTTTCCCCATTGTATCATTCTCTATCAGAGCAGCCTCTTTGTTTCTCCCTCCTCTTAACACAAAGGGTGACTAGATGTTTGTCTGTTACTCTCTTCCCACTGCATCAGAACCACCACACAAGCAGGAATCCTGACCATGTGTGTCATTCATTATTATATTCAGAGCAGCACAATGCCCGGAGCCTAAGAGGCGCTCAGGAAAGACTTGTTGAATGAATGAGTGACATTTGAGGAAAGCCTCATTTAGCAAATGTATTTGTTGGCCAGTTGGATCCAAGCTCTTGTATTATATTCTAGGAAGATAACCTACAGATTGCATAGATCCAGCATGGGGATGGATATCTTTCAGGAGGAAGGGTTTGCATTGAAACATGCAACTACAACAAAGCAGGAGAAACAGAGCAATTATGTAAGCATGCCTGTCAAGTCTGCATGTTAAAAATGGAAGAAAAAAGAATAGAATTTTGTGAAGAATTGTCCTGGGACTTTGCGTACACATGAGCCGCTATTATGCATAATACAATGCCGGGATTTTAGTCCTGGATCCTGTCCAAGGGGGTTTATTGCTAGATGAAGAGAGAGAATCTTACTCAAACACAGCATTACCTAAAATGTGATCCCTAGACATGGACTTGGGGGATGATGTTACAGGGAGGCTCTGGCACGGTTTTAAGTAAGGAGGAGAGTTCTTCTTTCATCCTGTACAACTTCTTGTTTTGAATGAGCGAATAGCCCGGATTACTCTCCGTTTAAAAAGAATTGTTTTATTTAATGAAGACCCAAAGAGCCATGTCTGCCAGACTGTAAGAGAGGCACACATTTTACAAGGTAAATATCCTTGGTGCACAGTTGACTGACTTTCTATTCAAATTTAATTTGAGCAATATATAATTTTAGTTATATAAATAAGAGGCTACAAATCAGAACTATTTTCACATTTTCTTGAAGGAATACAATGATCTCTCCATAAAATTTCATTTGGGAAAAAGCAGAAGGAAGGAAGTATGTCCAAACAATATGGAGATGGTGATTTTCTCCTGCTGACTCTGTGCAGTTAGTGTTTTAACAGGCATAAAGCCTCAGTGGCAGAACCAGAAAGTCAGCACGTCCCTATACCACCACCCAGGGAAAGTCCAGCAGTAGAAAATTATAGTCTGATATGGAAAATAATCTTCTGATGGGACTGTGGCATAGTTTTGAAGCTGCCATGAAGGAGTTTTAAAATTTTACAGATTAGGTACTTTATGATTTATAGGATGTGAAAACTAAACCTGGTGGTTTGAGTTAAAAAGCACTTTGTCAGGCCAGCCTACCAGTTCCTTCTTAATACTGACTAAGAACAATGACTCATATTCCTAACTATGATGGTTGGGCTGGGTGATGGTTAAAAGTTGGGCTCCATAAGACAACTATCTCTGAGCTGTCCCCATCCCTGCCCCTTACCTGTCCTCTGGGCTTAATCCAGCTTCACAGTCAGAGGAGAGAGAGAGAGAGAGAGAGAGAGCAAGAGAAAGAGAGAGCTGCTACAGTCAGTCCAGGCTTTCTGTGGGGATGGAGAAGTCCCATCTATTCTTCTTCACTTCAGGTGCTCATTGATCCATGCTCACATTCTCTGCCAGTGGTATGCATAAATGTGCTGGAGGGACCTTTTTTCCAAGAGCTAGATTGTAGATCACAAATAAGTACAGAAAGTTTAATTCTGCCATAGTTTGGACCTTGACTGTTCCTCAAAGGTCCATGCATGGAAGGTTTGGTCCCTGGTTTGTGATGCTGTTGAGAAGTTGTGGGACACTTAGGTGGTGGGACCTTCTGGAAGGAATTAGATTTTTGAGGGCATGGTCTTGAAGAGAATATTTGGACTCTCATCTCCTCTCTTTCTGTCTTTGATTCCCATTTGCCTCAACATGAGCAGGTTTGGTCCTCCACATGCTCCCTACCTCATACCATGATCTTCTACTTTACCATAGTCCCAAAAGCAATAAAAATTGTAGACCATGGACTGAACCTTCCAGAACCATAAGCCAAAAGAAAGCTTTCTTCCTTCCAAGTTGGTTATCTTGAGGAATAGAAAGCTGACTAATGTAAATTTTGTGGAATTTGGCTATTTGGGGTATGGAAAGCTGACTAATGTAAACTTTGTGAAATGCTATAAACTGTGGATTAAGACTGGCAAAGAGGCCCATGCCTGAAATCCTAGCACTCTGAGGCCAAGACAGGAGGATTATAAATTGTAGCCCAATCTGGGCAACTTAGCCACTTAGCAAGATGCTCTTTCAAAATAAAAAATGTTGAGGATATAGCTCAAGGTGAAGCCCTTCGGTTTTCTTCCCAGTACCACAACAGTTAGACAAATAAAACCATACAAATAAAACTAGAGATAATTACACAATGTGAACAGAGTTGTTTGCCAAAAAGTAATATGATTCTGGAACTGAAGTTTTTCAGTTTTCCTTCTATACTTGTATTATCAGAAACTGGGATGTTTTGTCAACAAATATTAATAGGACAGTGATCAGGAATAGAAGACTCATTCCTCCTTGCTCACTACCTTTAGAATGTACTCTTGCTCCTACTGTAGGGAACACACTACACAAAGCTAGGTCTCTCAGTAGTCCAAGTGGAGTCTCCAGCATGGAAGCTGACAGACCATGCGCTTTCTGGTCTACTGTCTTGATGAAGTGTTAGGAACTTCTCAAATTTTAGGTTTCTATTTGGCATCAGGACAGTAGTAATGATGTGAAGAGATAGGAGGCAGCAGGCCTAGACACAGATTATTTTTAATATACAGACCTAAGCTGACAGGAAACCCAGTAGAAAAATAAATCAATGGAATAGCATAGATGTCCAGGAAACAGATCAATACACTTATGGTACTTGGTCATGTATGCTAAAAGTGGAGTTAGAAATCAGTCAGGAAAAGATGACATTGAATTCACGCAGATGAAAACATTCTTCAAGTAGAAAAAAAATCATTAGATTTCTTTTTCATACCACACACAATAGTAAACATAAGAAACAAAATTATAAAACAAGAACAAAATATAGAATTTCCATACCTTCACTTATAATTTCTTCTACATTAAGAGAGTGAAAAGTTTTTCTTTAGAGCAGCAAAGCAGTGCACCCTATAGAGAAAGAGATTTATGGATTTCACTATATTGAGTTTAAAACTTTGGTTTAAGAGAAGACTGGAGAGATAGGGCTGGGGGTCATGAGGAGAATTTGCACTAGTTATAATAGGCAAATAATCAGTGTCCGAACTATATTAAGGTGAAAAAATGCATACAAGAAAAAAGAAGCTACTTTTAAAAGGACCAAGGAGCAGAGAAATGCAAATCAAACACAGAAAGTAAATCTAAGTGGCAAATAAACATATTTAAAATATGCCCTCCTAGTAATCAGGAAGTTGCAAATAAAGACAAAGAGGCACCTTTTTAAGCCCAACAAATCAGTGAAATGGAAAGGTTTGATGGTATAAGAGTTCCCTGAACTTCAGTGTATCTTTAATTTCTTTTAAGGAAGGAAAGATGGAAGAAGGAAGGAAAGAGATAAGAAAGAAAGGATTGAAAATTTTAAGCCAAGTGTCAGGAGGCTGAGGGCTAGTTTCAATTTTGTTCAGTGTGACTCCAGGCTAATCACTTGAGCCATTTTAGACCTTATCTTTCTCTCCTGGAAAAGCAAGTGAAGAATATTTGTTTAAGGGGGTGTTTTGAGAATTAAATGAGATTTAGGGGAAGCTCTATAAATGCTAATGCTCTATTTAAATGTTTGTTAGAATAAAATGGGGTTGTTAGATTAACAATCCCTAAAACTTCTCTGGCTCTATTTGTACATGGTTAGTGGGGGAGATGAAGAATACGCTGTGTAATGTCTGTA